GAGCGTGTGCATCTCCCTGTCTGCACTGACCTTTTCCAAGGCTTTTCCCAGCCCTGTACCTCCCCTGTGACAGGCTAAGCACACGTGTAACACTGTGTCTCTCATGCTTTTCTTTTGTGTTTCATGGGCTTTTGTGCAACGTGATGAACAAAACCACCCCTTTCCCTGAGCCAGGGACAAGCTGCTGTGTGGCTCAACATCCCCTTGCCAGAGCCAGCTGGGCAGCAAGGTCATCTGACCTCTACCCTCGTGTGCCGGAAGACCACAGTCCCTCTTTGGTACTGGGCAGCTGTGCAGGTGCCCCTGACCACGCCTGGAGGCAGCTGGGGGGTCGTGGAGGTGATGCAAAAAGCATTTCTCCTGTTTGCATCCTGTACTGCTGTTGACGAAAATACTGTCAGGGCTGGTTTGGGTTTTCTTGATCCAAGATGACACAGAATCCGACATCGCTGGTGCCTGGTGACGTTGGCTCTCTCTATGTGCCACTGCTCAGGGCTTCCACAATCACGTAGCTCTGTGCAAACAAGCCATGGTCTTGCAGCACGAGGGCTGCTCCAGGTAGCTCAGCTGCCCCTCTGCGGCCAAAGTTCCTGGTACTCAGTTCTCAGAGAAGGACTGGAGCAGGGGAGTGGGAGACATCCCCTAGCTTGGGGCAGGGACATAGGCAGAGACATTGCAGACCAGACCTCCTGGGCCTCCCTACCCTGGCTGTCTCCCCCCACCCTTGCCCCGCTTGCCATGGTCTTGGGTGGAAAGTGGAGCAGCATCTGCAGGGCCAGACTGGTGCTGGCATTGCATCAGCTCTGGCCCGGCACTGTCCCCTCCCCTGCCAAGTGCCAAAGCCCCTGCCGTGTTGGCGTGTAGCTCCAGGCTCAAAGCCAAGCCAGCCATGGAAAGCGCTGCATTAGCGCACAGGGGGCTAATCCCTGTGTCCAGAGGGCACACGGCCCCCCCCGCTGCCTCCGAGCCAGTGGGGCTGTGCCGGGTGCAGGGCTGTGCTCGTGAGGAGGCTGGGTGCCCATTCCACTGGGGAGGCAAGAGTCCTGTGGGGCACCAGGCTTTGGGGGGCTGTGCCAGCCTCACAATGCTTGTGCAGGGCCATGGCTGTGCCAAGGCGCTCTCGGGTCATGTTGCAAATGCCCATGAGTGTCCCATGGGGGCTCACTGAACCACTGATCCGTGTGGCAATAGACCACAGTGATCCCAGATGTGGAGCTCGTTCCCTCACACGTGCGATGGCAGCAGTGCTGGAGGGGCTGAGGGGCAAAAATCCCAGGGGAAGCTGACCAGGGTGGGATGAGGAGACAGTCTCTTCCCAGGCAGGCCTGGGCACTTAACTGACTGTGGGGGTCCATGGTGGTACAGAGCTGCTGCAGGGCAGCATGGGGTCTTTGCATCCACCAGTGGGGAACAAAATCCCAACACAAGCCTTTTCCCATCTGTTCCCTGTCTTGGTGCAATGCCATGGCCATAGTGCACCCAGGTCCTCGACTCACCCCATACTCTGCCCAAGCTGCACACTCTGGCCTCTGCCTCCTGAGCATCCCAGGGCCAATGGTGGCCACCATGAGTCACTGGTCAGCCAGGAGTCACAGGGACACCAGTTAAAGGGGAAGGGGGTCCTTGCTTTGCCCGTGCAGTTGTAGAGGTTGGCACCACTGGCTGGGGAAGGGCTCAGTACACAAACACAGACACCATTGACAGCCCCACTCCCCCTACCCTGAGGGCAGATGATGATGCCTGTGTTGATCCCTCTGGCCCCCAGCACTGGGACTGCCAGCACGGCCCCTTCCCTGCCTATGCTCAGCTGTGTCAGAGTTGGCTCCTTGTTCCTGCTCTGCCATCGTGGGCAGGAGATCTCTCCTTCATGGCTGTGGCAGTGGAGATGTGCCGGGTGTTTGCAGCCCAGGCTCCACGGGGGTCAGCAGCCACAGAGCTGTGACACGGGGACACGCCACATTGTCCAACACCAGTGTGGGGTGAAAGTCCCTTGCACACACGCTGTCATGCGCTTCAGCCCCTCAGAGGCACCCACTCACAAGTCAGGCACCCTGCACCCAGCACCCACGGCCTGGTGTAGTGGGGGGTTCCCCAAAGACTGGCCCTGGCTGGGAACGAGGTGCCAGGGCAGGGAATGTGGCACTGTCAGTTGGGCATGGCAGGGTGAGAGAAAGTGGTGGGTGATGTGGGGCCACGTCCCTCCTGTGGTGCTGCCTCTGGCACCCAGGACGTGGCTGAGAGGAGCCTCTGGCACTGGCAACAAGGGCATGTCCAGTTGGCAGAGCCACTGCTCCAAGCACTGTGGGTACTGCTGCTGGGCAGTACCAGCTCCCAGGTGGTGCTGCCAGTGGTCCTGGCCTCCCTACAGCCTGCTGTTCTACCACACAGAGCCACTGCTCCCTCCCTGGCACTGCCCACTGCATAGCACATCCACATCTCTGCTGGAAAGAGCCCCTGTCTGTGCTCCCTGCAAGGCAGTGGAACTGTGGGGGCCCCCCACCTAATGGGGCGTGGGGTCCAGTACAGTGCCGTGGCTGCACAGTGCCATGGGCAGCTGGGGCAAAGGGCCTGGGCAGGGTGAGGAGGGAGCCCCGTGCCGTGGCAAGGAGCGTGACTGGCCCTCGTGCCAGGACCCCTCACCCAGTGCAGTCTGCCCGGCTTGGCCACGGCAGGGCCGGGGGCCAGGGAGTGGCTGCCAGCTGGGGGAGTCCAGGGCAGAGGCCTCCCCGCTGCTAAATCCCACTGCAGCAGCTAAAAATAGCGACACCTCTGCCCCAAAGCTGCTCCCCGGCCACTCAGAGGGGCTGGCAGCGAGTCGCTGTAACCCACGCGCCTGGAGAAGCGTTCCCAGCCGGGGCAGGGATGGATGCTCGGCCAGGGATGGGCACCAGCACCTTCCATGGGGTCGGGATGTGAGCACTGGCGGGATGGGGTAGGTGGGGTTGATGTTGTGGGGCTGGGGGTGGGACAAGGACAGGGATGCTGGCATGGGGGAAAGGGACAGGAATCCTAGGGTGGGGATGGGAGAAGGACTAGGACAAGGATGCTGGTGTGGGGACAGGTTTGCTGGGTGGGGCTGAGGGGGATGACACAAGGATAGGGATGCTGACATGGTCAGGTGGCCAGTGGGCACCCACCAAAGGTCACTGTTCCCAGAGGCCACCCAGTGAGGACTGTCCCAGGAGACAGTTCCCTCTGTCCTGGGACTGGCTAAATAAGGCCATTGCAGGTCCTGCTCCTCAAACTGCGTCTGGAGCTCCATGTGTTGATTAATGAGCTGCTCCAGCAACCACTTGCGACATGGTGAGTGGGTCTGCCCTGGTGGAGGAAACACGACTTTCCCAGGGATAAAAATAGGCACAGGCAGAGCAGCGAGCCCTGGGAGCAGGGCTGGTCAGGGAGCGCAGCACTCCGGCTGGTGCCCGGGGGAACGCAGGGGCCAGGGGCGATGCCAGATTGTCTGTGGTGGCACTGGCACTGCTGTCCCTCCCGTCCCCCACAGCTCAGCTGCCCTCACCCCACAAAGCCGTGCCGTGCCATGGGGCTGCTGCCAGAATGGCCCCTTGTGGGAAGAGCCAAAATAATGCTCAGGAGCCCCATAACCGGCTTAGGGGGATGGAGGGAATTACAGCACCTCGTGAGCCAGGGTCTGTGCAGAGCACTTGGGTGCAGTGTCAGACAAGGCCCTACATCATTGCAAGAGCTTGGGGCAATGAAGGCACAGCGGCACAGGCCAGCTGAGCTGGTCTCAGAGCCAAGGCAGCCCCACAAGCTGGGATCCCTGTGGGTTAACAGCCAACCTCTGCCCCATCCCTGCCTGGCCCCGTGCTGTGGGTGGCTCCCTGTCCACCTCCATCCTGGATAGGTGCTGCTGCAAGGCCATGGCTGAGTGCCCTGAGGGCCGCCCTGCGGCATGAGAGTCGATGGGAAGGGGGGAGCCCAGGTGCTGGCCCCCACCTGAGAGCGTGCTCAGGTGTGGGGAGGGGTCCTTCTGCCATGGGGGCCCTGCACTCTCAGAGCTTAGCACTGATGTACAGCTGGGCACCAGCACCAGTGTGGGGTGGCACAAGCCCGGGTCACCCCTGGGGGTCTGGAGGCAGTGCTGCCATGGGGCACCAGAGTCTGCCCTGCTCAGAGGTTGTAATGTCCTGCATATGGCTGCGCTTTGGCTGCACAGGGGTTGGGGTTGGCTTGATGAGCAGAGAGGCCACATGGCCACAGTCCCAGTGCCATCCTAGGGAGGAAAAAGCAGGTACTTGGTGGGAAAATGCAGGAACAAGCAGCTGAATGTGAATGCCAGACAGGGTCAGACGAGGACTAGGAAAGGTGAATGGGGCCGTGACTGGGTCAGCCCTGTGCTGGTGTGGCCCCCTCCCACCTCGCCTGCCCCCAGACCCACGTCCCCCAGCTCTGCCCTGAGAGTCCCTGTGACCAGGTGTCTCACACAGGATCACCCACGTGCCAAGGCCGTCACCGCCAGGGTGGAGAAGCTGCTGAGGGTTGGTAGGAAGCCGGGCACCCTGCACTGCACCCCATGTGTGTGGCCCAGAGGAGGGATGTCCCAGCCACATCTTCTCACCCTCCCACTGCTGCTGCTCTGCTGCCAGGTAAGGATGGGCTGTCCCACACAACAGTGTTCTGCCCCATGTCCAGCTTGCTGCACACCCCGGGCCACCACTGATCCACCCCTGCCCACCACGGCCCCTCGCCATGCAGGCACTGCAGCAGCTGATGCCCTTTCCTGCCCGCCCTGCCATCCACATGACATGGTGTGGCATGGCACAGAGTGTTAGCCTGCACTCACTTGTGGCTGTCCCAAAGCTGGGGTCACTGCCTGTTACAGCAGGGCAGCCCCTGTGGGCAGGATGCGGGTGACAGGTGACACTTCCTGGTGCCCCCAGGGCCCCTCTGCCCAGATCACGGATAACCTCTTCGAGAAATGGACTGCGTACAGAGAGGAGTGCCAGCACAACATGAGCCGCCTGCCTGCGCCCACAGGTCAGTGCCCACGGGGGGCCAGCAGGGCTCTCGTGGGATGGGAGGGGGACAGGGGCTGGCGGGGGGTCCCACTGAGATGGGGATGGGGCAGAAAAGCCAGCACAGGGTCCAAACAGGACAGGGACAGAGCAGGGGGCCAGTGTGGGATCCTGATGTCCAGGGAGGGTGAGGCCAAGGCACTGCCATCTCCTATCCTGTTGCAGAGCTGGTCTGTAACCGCACCTTTGACAAGTTCTCGTGTTGGCCTGACACCGCACCCAACAGCACGGCCAGTGTGCCCTGCCCCTGGTTCCTGCCCTGGTACCACAAAGGTAAGAGCTGGCAGGCATGTGCTCCTGTGTGGTGTGTGCACACATACGTGTGCATGTGCTGCTGCAGGTGCTCGTGCCTGTGCTGGTGCACGGTGCCTGTGGGGGCTCTGGGGCCAGCACACCCCACCACCCCCTGCCCTCACAGTGAAACACAGACACGTCTTCAAGACCTGCGGGCCGGACGGGCAGTGGGTGACGGGGCCGCAGGGACAGTCCCTGCGCGATGCCACACAGTGCCAGCAGGATGATGAGGAGATAAATGCGCAGGTGGGCAGAGCTGGGCAGCAGGGGTGTAGGGGTCCCTGCCCACCCCCCTGCCTGCCCCTGCCCTTACTTGCTCCCTCCTCTTCCAGGAAAAATTTGCCAAGACCTATGGCAGCTTCAAGGTGATGTACACCGTGGGCTACTCCATGTCGCTGTGCGCGCTGCTGCTCGCCCTGGCCCTGCTGCTGGGCTTCAGGTGGGGCGTGGGCACGGCTGCCCGCAGAGTGGGCAGGTGGAGACTGAGGATCTGTGTGTGGGCACTGACAGCAGACCCTGCATTCACAGCAAGCTGCACTGCATGAGGAACTATATCCACATGAATCTCTTCGCCTCCTTCATCCTGAAGGGTGTCTCCGTGCTGGTCATTGACGCCCTGCTCAAGACCCACTACAGCGACAAGATCGACGGTTACAGCGTGCAAGTCTGGCTGAGTGATGAGGTCAGTGCTGGTGGGGCAGGGGTGGGGGCTGGTGGGGCTGGGGACTGGTGGCACTGGTGAGGCTGGGGGCACAGGCACACACAGAGGCAGTGCTGCAGCCCTGACCTCTGTCCACAGGCAGCCGCAGGCTGCCGGGCAGCCACAGTTTTCATGCAGTACGGCATTGTGGCCAACTACTGCTGGCTGCTGGTGGAGGGCATCTACCTGCACAATCTGCTGGTGGTGGCTGTTTTCTCTGAGAGGAGCTACTTCACCCTCTACCTGTGCATTGGCTGGGGTGAGTTTGCATGGCCTGGCCCCCCTGACCCTGTCCCCTGCCATGCCTCACCTGCCACCTGCCCACCTCCCCTCAGGGGCACCCGTGCTGTTCCTCATCCCCTGGGTCGTTGTGAAGTTCCTCTACGAAAACATCCAGTGAGTATCAGCCCCTGCCAGTGGCTGAGGGAACACAGGGCACAGTGGGTGTGTGTGGGGATGTTGTGATGGCCCCAGAGAGGCTCCACACCACTGCCCATGCAAAGGGCAGGGTGCCTGCCCGTGGCGCCTGCTCAGCCAGGGCTGCTGATGCCACACCAGACTCCAGCAGCCACCTGGTCAAGGGGCTTCCTGGCAGTCCCCATCCCTCCCCTCTGCAGGTGCTGGTCAACTAACAACAACATGGGCTTCTGGTGGATCCTTCGCTTCCCCGTGTTCCTGGCCATCCTGGTGAGCCCATCACAGCCCCTCACTTGGTGTCTCAGCATCTCTTTTGCAAGCCCTGAGACAGCTGTGAGAGAGGCTGCCCAGGGCAGGGGGACAGAGCTGTCCTGCCTGGCCTTGCCCCTGCCTCTCATGGCACACTCCATTCCATTGCAGATCAACTTCTTCATCTTCATCCGCATCATCCAGATCCTTGTCTCCAAGCTCCGTGCGCACCAGATGCGCTACACTGACTACAAGTTTAGGTGGGCGCTGGGCACGGCCCACCCTGTGTGCCCGCAGCACACGCGCCTGTGCGTCCACCTCGTGACCCCTGTCCCCCAGGCTGGCCAAGTCCACGCTGACGCTGATCCCGCTGCTGGGCATCCACGAGGTGGTCTTCGCCTTCGTCACAGATGAGCACGCCCAGGGCACACTGCGCTATGTCAAGCTCTTCTTCGACCTCTTCCTGAGCTCCTTCCAGGTGAGCCCAGCCTTTGCAGGACCAGCCTTCTGTGGGGACTCAGTCTCAGTAGGGACCAGATTGGGGTCTGGCTGTGTGCCTCACACCTCTCCTCCCTCCACCCAGGGGATGCTGGTGGCCATTCTCTACTGCTTTGTCAATAAGGAGGTGAGTAGGACAGCAGGGGCAGGGGCAGCAGGGGCGCTGGGTTGTGCTGATGGCATCTACCCACAGGTGCAGGCAGAGCTGTTGAAGCGATGGCAGCGCTGGAAGCTGGGGAGGGACCTGGCTGAGGAGTACAGGCACACCTACAGCCACGCACCCAGCGCCCGCAACGGCGCCGGCAGCGCCTGCGAGAAGCACCAGCTGGTGAGTGGCTGCACCAACGGGCTGGGGCACAGCCTGGCCCCCCACCCCGGCTCCCACCGCCCCGAGAGAAGCGGGCGCGGCACCGCTGAGCACCTCGCCCTGGGAGATCGCCACCACTGCTACGAGTTCCCTGAGACCACGGCCGAGAGCCACTTCTGAGCCCACGGCCAGACGGGAGGGCTGCGCTGAGCCAGTGGCCTGCCGTCGTCCCCTGCCCTGTCCTCCCCAGGCGCTGGCAG